ACTTTGCACATTGCATTATGATACTTTGTCTTCTCAAGCTGCCCTTGGAAAATTTCTGTTTAGCTCTTTTACTTCCTCATGTCATCCATTTACTTTGGCATTTCTATGCTGGAGGGCAAATTTCAGAGTCTCTTTTGACATTCATTTTGGTCTTTTCTTTCTTTCATGTCTTTTTGTGTGTGTGTGTGACCTTTAGCTTTCTTCCCATATGATGTTCTTGATGTCACCCACAACTCTTCTGGTCTTCAGTCATTAGTGCCTAATTCATCAAATCTGTTACTGAGATGGTCTCTAAATTCAGGTGGGATATGTTCAAGGTCATATTGTGGCTCTTGTGGACTTGCTTTAATTTTCTTCAATTTCAGTATCAATTTGCATATGATCAATTTATGGTCTATTCCACAGTCTGCCCATGGCCTTGTTTGGACTGATGATATTAAGTTTTTCTACCACCTCTTCCCACATAGATAATCAATTTGATTTCTGTGTATTCCATCTAGTGAGGTCTAAGTGTTTTAAAAAGGTTTTTGCAATGAATAAGTTATTGTTCTTGCAAAACTCTTATCATATGATGTCCAGCATGGTTTCTATAACCAAAGCCATATTTTCCATCTACTGACCATTTCATTTTGTTTCCAAACTGTGCATTCCAATCATCAGTAATTATGAATACATCTTGAATAATTTCAGACTGAAGAACTTGGTAGGATTCTTCCATTTTCATCATCACTGTCTTTAGTGGGGGGTGAGTACAGTTGAATAACAGATGTACTAACCTGTCTTCCTTTAGGTATATGGATATGATCTAAGTAGACAGCACTGAACTTCAAGGACAGTGATCTTTATGCGTTAAATTTCACTTTTGACAACTTTCATTTTTCCTAGATTCACACCTCATAATCCCTTTTTTAATTATTAATTCATGTTTACAGCTGTTTCTCTTCATTTTGAGTTGTGTCCCATCAGTAACCAAAGGTTCTGAAAACTCTTCTCCATTTGAGTCATTACGGTCAACTCTACTTTGAGGAGACCACTCTTCCTCAGTCATATTTTAAGGACCTTTTAACATGAGTGGCTCATCTTCTGGCACTACATCTGACAATATTCTGGTACTATTCATGTTTTTATCTTCTGGCACTATATCTGACAACATTCTTCTGCTGTTCATTAGGCTTTCAGTGGCTAAGCGTTCACAATAATTCACCTCTTCTGCTGCCCAGGCTTAGTTGGGAAACACTGCTAAAGCCTGTCCACAATCACTGACACTGCTGGTCACCAGCCCACTGGGAGCATAACATCTGACATCACAGCAACACACAAGCCTCCACAGTGTGACAAACTGACAGACAAGTTGTGGTCATATTGTTTAGTATGATATTACTATACACAATTTTCTTTTGGTTGCTATCTGCGTAGTATATAGTTTTCCATCCTTTCACTTTCAACCTTTTCTCCTAAGTTTAGGTTTATCTCTTATAATAAGCAAATAGGATTTTAAGTAACTATCTCACAATCACATTTATTAAATTACTAATTTATTTCTATTATATTAATTTGTGATAATTTACTATGCTAATTTATTTTGACCTTTTTCTCATCTTTTCCTAACTTCTTTCAGAATTACAGGTTCCTATAGTCCTGGTGATGCTGTGGGTTAATGCGTTGGCCTGCAAAGTCAGTCTGAACTGCCAGGTTGGAGGCTCAAGCTCACCAGCCGTTCCTCGGAAACACTATACAGGGTCACAATGTGTCAGAACCAACTTGACAGAACTTTACAAAAACAGCAATAGTTCCTTTGGAACCTGGTGTGGCACTGCAAGATAACATGCTAGACTGCAAAGTCAGTTTGAGCTGCAAGGTCAGCAGTTCAAACCCACCAGCTGCTCCTCAGATACCCTACACAGGGTTGCTAGGTGTCAGAACTGATTCAAAGGCACTTAACAACAAGAGTCCATTTACCCCCTCTACTTTAAGTATTTATCCTTAAAATTTTAATTCATAGTTTAAAATTAACTTTCCTCATAAATTTTTTAATGACTTAATGCTTTTATCCTTTTACCTAAGAAATTCAAGGCTACACCAAACATTCTTTATGAACACATTCTCTTATACTAATGTTTGAAGTAGATTGAGTTTTTTTTAATATAAAAAAATTTTGAACTTTACAATCACTATTAAATTAAGTCTACCAATATGCTTTATCAGTTTATGAGCTTACCATTGTTTCTCTATTTCACATATCCTCTTTGAATTTACGTCCTTTGTTTTCTCCCCAAAATTCATCCGTTAGTAATTATTTCAGTGAGGCCATGTCAGCTTTTTAGTCTATATTTGTATAAAATAATCTGGCTTCATATAAAACTAAAGTTGACATTTATTTTCTTTCAGCAATGTTACAGATAGTTTTCTGTCAATCTTCTAACAACTACTGTTCTGACAAGACTATCGGCAGTGGGTCACTCCTCTGTAGGCCATCTTTTTCTCTCTGGAAGCGTTTATGATTTTCTCCTTTAACCCTTTGTTCTTCAGTTCACTTACTGAACTAAGTGCAGATTTTTTTTAAATTTACCATACTTAAAACTTAGTGTACTTTCAACCTGAAGACCCGTATTTTACTTCACTTCTAGAAAACTCTCAATCATTCTGGGACTTACATTAGATCTATACTTATGCTCCGCTTAGAAGCTCATTTATATATTTTTAACTGTGAAATTCTTCAGCATATCGGTTAATTATAATCAGTTATTAATTTGTTGTTGTTAAGTGCCACTGAGTCAGTTACGACTCATAGTGACCCTGTATAGGGTTTCTGAGGAGCAGCTGGTGAATGTGAACTGCCAAGGCTGTGGTCCAGTGCATCATCCCACAGTGCAACACCAGGACTCCTGAAAAACAGTGGCTTCAAAAAAAATTGAAGAATAAGCCAGGCTGGTATAGCACTTCCATAATGCCATTAGTGCCAATCTCCTTTCACTTTCTACTTCGCCAGCCTTACCAAATGCTTTTTATCCATAACCACCGTAAGAATGCTCACCGCTAACACTGAGAGATTGAAGGACAACACTGAGAAAAGAAGGGCAAAGGGCCAATTCATACAAATTTGTCCCATTTTAAAATATCACCAAGAAGCTTCATTTAGTATCTACCTCACCAGCCACTCCTTGCTGCACGGGAAGTTGGGAGGCTTAGTTTTTGATCTTGAGCATATTGCTACTCAGAACAAAATTCTATAGTATTAATAAGAAAAGAGAGTATGGACAAGAATTACTTCACTATTCACCAATTTGTTTGTTTTTTTTTTTTCATTTTGTCCTATTTACTAATTTTTTAGCCTCGTCTCTCTTTAAGAATTCTAAACACATTTATTTTAAAGTGTTTTCACGGTATTTATTTCCATTTCAAATTAATGTGAGGTCATCTTCTAACTGTTGTGTTTATGGATGTCATTCTTAACATTAGAATTTTAGGGATTTAAAAAATTTTTGGTTTGAAGGTTCATTTGATGGGAAGTTCATTCTCTTTCTTGCCTTGTCTCCTGCTTCCTCTCCACCAGCCCCAACACATATCTTTACCATCCCCTTCCCTTTATAGTACATTTAGTTATCCATTTTACTTTCTCTCTTAGTCCCTATGACCAGAACCAGGTCTCCTATGTCGTGGTGGATTCCCACCCCATGGTTGATATTGGAGCAATACAAATCCATTAAGTCAGTGAGGGCTACGTTCATTTCCTGGTTACAGGCTATATAACTGGGTCCTCCCACCTCCCTAAATTGCAGTTAGCAATAAGCCTTGGCTCTAGTTAATGGTTAACAGTAGATATTTCCCACTAGTTTTCTTTCAAGAGCAAGCCTCTACCATCAAGCCAATAATCCTGGACTAGAACCACCATCATGAACGGAGCACTTTTAGGTTCATATACTTGTAGGAACTGAACTTCTGATATGTCACCTTTTCAGACCCAGAGCCCAGAAGGTACACAGATTCAGACCCACTTACCAGTTTACATTTCTAAGGCCAGCTATGCCGTTTTATAATATTTATCCTTTTATGTATGTATCTTACTTACGTTCCTATGCATCTGGTTCAGACCACAGTGAATTCACAGTCATTTCATATGGAAATTATATTCCGATTGTTTTATGACAGTAGGGACAAAATGATAAAAACAGTAGAAATGAAATTGTGTAGTCTCTCACAAACATTAATATAATCTCTTTAAGATAATTTTTCATTTTGTTCAACTGACTAGCATGTGAACTGTTTTTATGGTAGAGAATTCTCTAGTATAGAAGCAAAAATAGCCAATTCCTGGCTTCTGTGCTTCCCTGGCTGCTGGGGAAACTCTTGTAACATCTCCAGACTCTCAATTTTCATCACAGAGAGAAACTGTGAAGAATCTATTTTGATGATGGATGCTGGCAGCTATTTCTAGCATCCAAAGGTGACTTCCAGTGATAGCTTTCTCTGGCTAGTCTTAATCTAGTGTCTAGAAGTGGAGGCAGGGGTGTCCTCGAGTCCTCTAATTCTACCACAGAATTTAGGGCATGGAATCTGGAAAATAAGCAAACCTTTCTTTTATTTAAATTAGACTGAGGCCACTTCTTTTATTTAATCCTAAGAAATCTAAAATACAAACTTTGTAATGCAATCTTAAAAAATTTCATGTAGGCTTCTTTAAAAAGATGAAAAAAACTATGGAAGTATATGCAAGGTTTCCTTAACTAAGAGATCAAATGACAAATGTTTCATTTTTGTGAGTCTTACCTTTCCCCCAACCAGAGGTAAAATGTGCATCTTTCCAGCTTGACAATCCTTCACTGAGGAAACAATGAGGCAGGTGCCGCAGAGAACAACTACGCGCTCAGCCCATTTGTGCAGCTGGGTCTTTCCCTTGCGCACATTATAGATGCCAGACAGAAAGATTCGGTCTAGGTGATCCATCTGGCATGGCTTTTCTGTAAAGAAAAGAAAATCTCAGAATCCACTATTAAAGTTGTATGTGAATACTAAAAGGGAAAAAGTAACAATAATGTACCAATATCCAGCAACCCTATTTATAGATACAAGTCATCAAGTGATGTAAGTATTTACAAAGCAAAATCTTGATCCTAAAACATTATCTACCCAGGAGACATCAAGGCAAGCGGTCAGGTCCTCTCAGGGCATACCCCCTTGGCAAGACCAAGACTCAAGGGGAATACACAAGCAGACATTCGCTCTGACTGGTGACCACGTTGGTCACCGATAAGGGGAAGTGAGGGAAAAAAAGCAATGAAGCTGCGAGCTAAGTTCTACCACGGTCAATAAACTCCTGTGTACCCAGGTGGGGACCTGGTTGGCCAGCAGTATGACAAGACCTGGGGATGACTGGGCCCAGAGTCAATGACACAGCCACAGAAGATGAGTGGAGAGTGAAGCATCCAGCTGATAAGAAGAGAGGGCATATGCACAAGAACACCCACACTTGCAGATAATACCCACTTGACCTGACTTCAATGGCTGGATGATCAGAGCTCAACTAGAAGAAGAAAGAAGAGGGAAAAAAGAGTAATCTGATACAATTTGATGAACTTGACCTACACCTATGGATTCAGTAGCTCAAAAGAAGGAACAAATCTTTACAGCGAGGATCATTCCCACCCCCTCGCTACAGGGATGGGCAACTTGGATATTGGCTACCGAAAATGGGGGGGCTACAAAGGCAAGAAGTGACTGGCTTACAAGCTTTCAAGAGGGAGTCTAGATCCAGAGGGTGCAGAGGAATGTAGAATCTCCACTGAGTAGTATCCAATCTGTCTGGGTGGGACTGATGAAAGGAGATGGGGACACCACTCATGTGGTACAATAGTGAATAATTACTATCAGGAATGATTGTGGGGGTAGGAAACATAAAAGCAGATGTTTTGTAGCAAAAGGAGGGGAGTGGTTGACTTTGGAGTCCAGGAGCGGACGTCCCTGGGACCATTAAGGGAGAAGAGCAGAGTGTGGGACCCTACCCAGAAAAACAGTGACCCTAGAGATGGAGGCAGAGATGACGACGTGGAGAAATGGAGTGGCTGGGGACTCTAGACCCAGAGAGGGAGAGGGGCTGTGTGCTGACAACCGAGGGGCAGGCTTGCAGGATATACCCTTTGGTTGTTTGATGATGCAGGGAGGGGACTGTAACCATGGCAAAGAAACGATATACAATAGGATGAATGTAAAGCTAATGTTCTCCCATGTAAACTATCACATAATTCACAATAAAACATGTTTTTAAAACCCAACATTATCTATCACTGATATTGTATAGTGGAGTACCTGTGAATTTTGGCATACCAAATATGATTTTACTGTGGATGCAACTGTTAATCCTTTCAACCAACTCTCAAATGAATACAGTACTGTGAAGAGGTTAAGATAAGGTACTTTGGAGTTGAAGACATATTTGGGTTTGAATCTTGATTGTGTTTCAGTTTTGAACAACTTAATCTCACTGAGCTTTACTGTATCTATAAAGTTTAGATCTTAATAACTGCCTTCAGGAAGCTCTTGTTAAAATTAAGATGAAAGCAAAGCACTATTTAGAGTGCAACAACAATTTGAATGATTGTGTGGGGAGTAGGCAGAAGCTCTCTGTTCTTATAATTGCTCTGGAAATCAATAGTTATTTCCAAGAAAAAAAGTTAAAGAAGCCAAAGAATAAATAAATGCTGACTTACACGTTTTAGAGAAAAAGCACTAATCCTTTTTACTTTCTCTTTTAACCCCAAAACCAGAATCAAGTCTCATTATGTAGTGGTAAGAACCCCATGTATGACAGTGGAGCTATTCACATCTATTCATTAAGTCAGTGAGGGCAGGTTCATTTCCTTACTTTAAAACAAAAAAAGCTATTTATTTTTACTTAACAAGATATTTACTTCACTTTTAAAAGATAAAACAAGGAACTTCAAAATAAATCTCAAACTTGCAATAAGCCCTATACGTAATACCTAACAAACAAACTCAGGTATTAGAAGTGCTTCAGTAGAAAAAATTTGAGAAGTAGTAATGGCTAGGCAATTCCACCATCTAGTTTTGTTACCATGAAAAAGACTTACATCTTTAAGTCTTTGTTTCCTAAATTTAAAACTGTAGTTGATTAGATGATATATACAGTCCTTTTTAGCTTCCATTATTTTATGGTTTCTCCACATACTCTTAACCCTTTCTTCATCAACTAAATGATGGATAGTCTGTTTCCCAGCTCTGCAATTTACAAGATAAAGAATGTTGTTGTTATTGTTCAGTGCTGTTGTTTCCAACTCACAGCAACCCTGAATAGGATTTCCAAGGAGCAGTTGGTGGGTTTGAACTGCTGACCTTGTGGTTTGCAGTCCGGTGCTGATCCTACAGCACCGTACCAGGAGTTCACAAGAAGACAAACATCTAATAATACTTACCTCATAAGTTATTTGGTAAACATTCAGTACTTAGCAAGGGTAATGAATGGTAGAAAAGACAATATAAGTTATGTCTTAGCGTCTTTCTTTTCTTCGATAAAGATACTTTCAAAATATGACAGTTTTAACAACTCCCAAACAGCTTTAATATCCTCAAGTACCTGACTCCTAGGTCTGAATTTCCTAAGCTCTAGTTCCACATTTTTATCTGTCAGACATTTCCAACTGAATATTTACCAATAGTTTAAACTGTTGTAGTTATTAATAGATGCACTGAGTTAGTTCTTACTTATAGAAACCCAATACCACTGACCGAAACACTGCCTCGTCCTGTGCCATCTTCACAACTGATGTTCTGTAAGAGTCCAGTGTTACTGCCATTATGTCAGTTCATCTCACTGAGGGTTTTCCTCTTTTTCATTGTAGCTCCACTTTACCAAGCATGATGTCCTTTTCCAGAAAATGGTTCCTCCTGACAGGATAGGCAAAGAACAAGGGGCAAAGTCTCGTCATCCTTCCTACTAAGGAGCACTCTGGCTATACTTCTTCCAAGACAGATTTGTTTGTTCTTCTGGCAGTTCATGGTACTTTCAATACTATTCTCCAACACCATAATCCAAATGCATTGATTTTTCCAATTTCTTTTTATTCATTGTTCAACTTCAAAAATGCATATGAGGCAATTAAAAATATCATGGCTCTAGTCAGGTGCACCATAGTCCTAGAGCTGACGTCTATGCTCTTTAGCAAACTACTAAAGCTTTCTTTGCAGCAGATGTGCCCAATGCAATACATTGTTTGATTTCTGGACTGCTGCTTACATGGGTGTTTCTTGTGCATCCAAGCAAAATGACGTCTTTGACAACGTCAATCTTCACTCCATTTATCATGATGCTATTCGCCTGTTGCTAATATTTTCAATTTCTTCATAGTGAGATGCAATCCATACTGAAAGTTGTAGTCTTTGATCTTCATCAGTAAGTATTTCAAATTCTCTTTGCTTACAGCAAGTAAGGTTTTATCAAGTGCATCTGGTAGGCTGTTAATGAATCTCCCTCCAATCCTGATGCAATGTTCTTCTTCATATACTTCATTTTATTGTGTTATTTGCTCAGAGTACAGACTGAATAAGTATGGTGAAAGAACATATTAAAGGTCACATTTTGGCTCTCATGGACTTGTTTTAATTTTGTTTAGCTTCAGCCTGAATGTGCATATAATATAAACAACTGATGCTCTGTTCTACAGTCAGCCCTTGGCCTTGGCCTTGTTTTAGCTGATGATATTGAGCTGCATTGTCTCTTCCCACAAACGTAGTCCATGTGAGTTCTGTGTATTCCATCTGGTGAGGTCTTTTTCAAATTGTTGTTATTGCTGTTAACGCCATAAAGTCAATTCCAACTCATAGGGACCCTATGGAGGGTTACACTGAAGAAGCAGCACATGGGTCTGAAGCACTGACCTTGCAGTTAGCAGTCCAGTGCTTATCCTACAGTGCCACAAGCATGTCTAAAAGCATTTACCATCATCCTGTAAACCAGGTGCCTTCTCACAATTCAAGTCCTATCATTCTCCCAAACTTACCTAGGCTCAAAACCTAACAGCAGTTTCAACTCTTGGGGTATCTCCCTCAACTTAATTTTTCAATCAACTCTGAGTGATGAGTTCTCAAACATTCTCTTATAGGAACAACTTCTTCCTATTTCCTAGTCCAAGCCCCCATGAATTCATATGTGAATTATTATCCACACTAGCCCCCAAAATGAAATGGAACACATAAACATACTAACTTAGGCATTAGTGAGCTGGTATTGGCCATTTTGAATCTGATGACCACATAGTTTACTATGCAGGAAATGAA